CCTCTCTGCTCGAGGCAGCTCGCCTGATGACGGCGCCATAGGGTCAGTACGTGCTAAAGCTTCAACAAATGAAACATCTCCAGGCTCCTTGAACGGTGGCACCCGACTTTAGCTCTGCACCAAGCCTGGGAATCCCAGAGGCCGGGACAAGGCACGTCCCTGCCGTCAGCCTCTGACTCTCTCCCTGTTTCCTCCTCCCACTGCACCATATTGCTTTTTAATTACATATTAGCGCTCCGACCTGCGGGACACTCACCGGTGACGACAAGCCTGGTGCCGCTCCCAAAGCGCGGGTGCAGGACGGAGACGCTGCAGTAATAAACGCCGGAGTCATTCCTCTCCACAGAGCTGATGTTAAAGGAAAAAACCTGTTGCGCTTCCACTGTTCCCGAATATTTTTCCTCTGGGGATGAGTATGAAGAGCTCTGGTAAACATGGTACAAGCTGCCATCCGGCCTCTCTCTGTACCAGTTCACGCTCCACTCGTTGCTGGAGATGTTGCAGCTGAGCCGGGCTGTGTCGCCCGGTTTCAGCCACAGCTGCGCCGGGCTTTGGTGGATCCCAGCAGCGGTTCCTGCACAGGAAAATCTGAGCTGAATCCAGCAGCCGGTATCGGCGGGTCACCCTGTGCCTTACCTGGCCGCTTCCCAGCTCCAAAGCACGTTACGGAGCTTGAAACGCAATATTGGCTCCCGTCCCTTGGAATTGCTTCGCCTGCATTAATTCGGCCCTGCTCCTTCAGGAGAGAAGTATTTTGCACTTGAAAAGCAACTTTCTTGTGCGGATTACAGAGCGTGGCGGATCCTAGTGAGAGGAATCCCATCACCTTCCTGGACGCAGGAATAGCGACAGTTTAAAAATGCAGAAACTGAGAAATGCAGAAATTGAGGGAGAGGGGAGGGAGAACAGCAACGCCGGGTTCCTAGTGGGAGAGGATGCTCGGAGGAGCAGGTGCTCCGCTTTAGTGACTGGGCTGGGCTTTCTCTAAGATCAAGAGCTGAAGGCAAAATAAGTCATTTTGTTAGGATTTTACCCCAGATCATCTCCTGTTGTTTTGGCATTGAGGTGCTTGCTTCGGCCCTCCGCCCAAAAAGTCCCGTCCCTATACGAAGCAAGAGAGCACGAAGAAGCAGACTCGGAGCAGCAGTCGTTTTCCAGATTTAAAACAGATTGCATCGAGAACGCTTTAGGAAAAGGAAACCATCTGAGTACATCTAACGTGTTTAAGCCAGCGCAGCACCCTGCCCTCCCTCTGCTCGCCAGCTCGGTTTGGTGTAACCTAGCTGCAGAAGATCCCCGCGTGCGAGCGGAGATGCTCTTAGCTCGGCAGGAAACGAGCCTGCCGTATTCCCCGAGCAGGTACTCACGTGGCAAGAAGAGCAGGATAACCCCCAGGAGCTGGCGGCCCATGTTCGGCGGAGCTGCTGGAGGGATCGCCCTGCCAGGAAAGCTTTTCTCGCCGAGGGAGGAAGGGCCGGAAAAAAAAAGGCGCGCCAACGCTTCGTCCCGGCTGCGCTGGCGCCCGCTGTGGGTTGGGTCCTTCCTGCCAGCACGGGGCGGTCACAGCGATTCCCCCGCCAGCCCCCCTTTCCCGGTGGGCTTCCATGCTTTACAGCTTCACTGCTTCGTTGGTAACGCTTCAGATGGGTAAACGAGGCGTGAAGTGCAACCGCAGGCTCCTCCTCGGACAAGGGCAAACTCTTTGCGTGTGTTTGAAGGATGGAGGACGTGACCGGTGAGGAGAGCCGGAGAGGGACACGCTTGGGCTTGGGTGGTTATTTAGTGTTCTAGATTAGGGAAGGAGAGGACATCTCTGGGAAGGGAACGGTGGGTTAGAAAAATAAAAGAGCATGATGGATATAACCGCTAACTCCTTCCTCTCCCCGTCCCGGTAGCAGACAGACTGTGAGCCCAGCTCCCACTGGCTGTATTGAATCTAATTGCGGTTCCTTATCCCAAGAGGTTTTTTCTCCCGGATTTTATGCATGTCTGCATATCTCGGGTGAAGCCTGGCTATTTCCCCTCTCCCTGGTAAAAAATTGTGTTTCCTCCTGGCGTTGACGGGACGATTTCCGAAGCTCCCGGATCCCGTTTTGAGATGGGGCGGGTGCTTGGGAGCCGCTGGGATGCACATCCCAAGGAGCAGGCAGCTGAGCTTTGCGCCCTGAGCTCATGCACTTGCCCAAAGCTGTTCAAGGCCGGAAGCGCCGCTCCCGGCACAGGTGGATGCTTTCTTCAATCTTACCTTTGTTAAACGTGAGTTATTATGGATTGCCCTTGTTCTTTAGAGAACTAAGGCACTTAGGTTGGGCATCGGGGCCTCCTCTGCTTTGCGAAGTCCACTAAAGTTGTGCGAGATGACACATAACACCGCATCACGGCCCCCGCTACCGGCCACCAAACACCTCGTCAGTGAAGCCACCTTTCCATTGGAAGTGCCGCATGGGCACAGATGCATAGAAACACTCTGCCTACTTAAGGAATTAATGCATAATAAATCCCCCAAGCTCTGAACTTGATCTCTGAGCTGGACAAGACATTAGGAAACTGCTGCTGAGCAGCACCCACAGGGTAAAACCAGCTCGTGCAGGCTGGGTCTTTTGCAAAAGCTCAGGGCTGGTATTTGCCTTATTGAAAGCAAAGCCTGCTGTGGTCAGATGTGCCTCATTTATTTTGTCACTTCAATGTTGTTTGTTCAAATAAACACCCTCTTTTTTTTTTTCCCCCTCCGCTCTGCTGCCCACAGCCACTTGTTACGAACTTTTTAATTGCAGAGAGGGGTCCGGGTTTAGCAAACAGCCTTGTTTCCCAAACCGCAACAGGAAGGCAAGCGGGGAGGGCTGCTGGCCCCAAATGTATCGCCTTTCTTTTTTAGTCCCTTGCCCTTTGAAGGTCATTTTTGGCTCAGTTTTGCAGAGCGTGAAGCTGAGTACATCTCCGAAGTGCGCTCGTGGCGCTGAGTAGGTGTACCCCACCTCCCGCTCTGAGGGGAGCCTCCCCATCAAACGCATTGAAAAACTGTCCCCCCAAAACGCGGCAGTGGCATGGGACAATATAATTTATACTGTCTGGGCTCTGGAGGTTGATTTATCCTTATTCTCAAGTACTTGTAAAATGGAGCAGGGATGCTGTCAAGCGCCCTGTGTGCACGAGGGAGCCCGGACCTAGCCCCAAGCATCGAGCAAGTGGTTAAAAAACCAGGCTTTCCTCCCCGACCCCGCGCCCATGTGGAGCCCAGCCTCTTGCTCCAGTTTCATGTCGGACCAAAGAAGCAGGAAAGTTTTTTTTTTCTTTGCAAAACCGTGGGAGTTTCAGGCTCCGGCGGGAGTTTCTCTCGGGTTTCTACTGCTCCTTAATGCAAACCAGTTTCCAAAGCGCTCCCTGGCACCCGGAAGGAGCTTCTAGAAACGCTTTGCTCCAGTTTCATGTCGGACCAAAGAAGCAGGAAAGTTTTTTTTTTCTTTGCAAAACCGTGGGAGTTTCAGGCTCCGGCGGGAGTTTCTCTCGGGTTTCTACTGCTCCTTAATGCAAACCAGTTTCCAAAGCGCTCCCTGGCACCCGGAAGGAGCTTCTAGAAACGCTTCCTCGGGGCACTGGAGCTACTTTAGCACGTCAAAAATGGGTCTCTGCCACCGAGCCGCCGGTGGGAAACGCCTTCCGGCAGCGGGAGCCGACGCGCTTCCTCCCGGG